CCTTGTTTTTATATTTCTGTATTATCTTTTGCCCTTTTATCCACATGACCAGCCACTAGTGCACATTTTCAAAATAATGGTATTTAGAATACAAAGGGGGAAAAAAACTATTTGATTCATACTATCTTCTAAAGTACTTATTTTTAATCCCATCTTTCTTTAATGAAACCAACTGATATATCAAGAAAGATTAGGAAGACTGTTTTTTATATGAATAAGCAAAGAGTTTGAAAGGACTACTTCCTCTGGCCCTTAAACAAGTATTAGCTTTTCTTGATTATAAGATAAAATATGTGCCTGACTAATCATTGTTTTTTTGAGAAAACTTAAAGCAATAATCTGTCACCTTAAAATAAGGACAGTTTTTAGAGTTTTTTTTATTAGCAGCTTGAATTTGAAAAAAACTTGATTCTTTATATTAGAGATATAAAACTAAAATACCTAGTCTTTTAAAGTTATTTTCTGTATTTTTAGTATTATATCTGAACAGAACATTCTAGACATTCATTTAAAAAAATTAAGGTAGTAGAACTCTTTCCTTTATTTTTGATATTATCATCTTAATTTCATATTAAAGTTGTTAATAGAATTATTTCATTTTCAGCATGCAGGGTTGGTTGGGTTTTTTCCTCATGTTGGAAGCTACAGAGAAAAGTCATAATATTAGAATATAGTATCAGCATGATTGAAAAAAACCCTTTATTCTTAACATTTGTCTTAAGAGAAAATAGAAAATAACGTTGATGTTTTTATTTCTTTTTAGGTCTTCGGGTAACTGTGCTCCTGACATCCTTCCTTATGGTTTTGGGAACTGGTCTAAGATGTGTACCTGTGTCAGACTTAATGCTTAAAAGAAGGTAAATCTTATAACTAACTTAAAAATGTTTTCCTGGGGCAGTGCCTGTGGCTCAGTGGGTAGGGTGCCAGCCCCATATACCAGGGTGGCAGGTTCGGGCCCAGCCCCAGCCAAACTGCAACAAAAAAATTAGCCAGGCATTGTAGCTGGCTACTCAGTCCCAGCTACTGAGGAGGCTGAGGCAGGAGAATTACCTAAGCCCAGGAGTTGGAGGTTGCTGTGAGCTGTGTAACACCACGGCACTCTACTGAGGGCAATGAGTGAGACTGTCTCTACAAAAAAAAAAAGTTTTCCTGCCTTTTTTTCTTTTATTATGAATATGTTACACATGTTTATTTATAAGCTTTTAGTAAGCAATTGCACTTTTAAGAAGATCAGTAGAGGGTCATATTTATAGAAGCATGTTTTTTTTTTACCCTAATGGTGGACATTTATTAATTGTTATATGTCATATACTAGTTGTTGTAGAAATTAAAAATATAAGTTAATCTTCATGCTGTCTAGGAGCTATGATAATCATGAGAAAATAATAGTATATCATACTGTATAAAAGGTCTGATAATTAATTTTGCAAACTCATCATAGAAAAAGTGCTATAATACCTCATTGCTGAATATCAGTATGATCACTTTCAAAGTACTCTCCTTGGGAAACTAGGCACCAGTACCAGTGTCTAGTCCACCCTTTAAAGCAACTTTGGAACTCTTTTTTTAGAATGGTCATCAGAGTTGTTGTTGTATGAGTTCTGAAAATTAAGTTCACAAACTCATCCTAGAAAAAGTGCTACACATACCTCATTGCTGAACATCACTTTGGTCACCTTTGAAGTACTCTCCTTGGGAAGGTAGGCACCAACACCAGGGCCTAGTCCACCCTTCAAAGTAATTTTGGAAGTCTTTTTCTGGAATGATCATCAGAGCTGTCATCATGTGGTGGTATGGCATACAAAACCATGCAATAGGTGGCGCCCGTGCTCAGTGGGTAGAGCGCCAGCCACATACACTGAGGCTGGTGGGTTTGAGCCTGGCCCAGGCCTGCTAAACAACAGTGACAACAACAACAAAAACATTGAGTGTTGTGTCCGGTACCTATAGTCCCACTACTTGAGAGGCTGAGGCAAGAAAATTGCTGAAGCCCAAGAGTTTGAGGTTGCTGTGAGCTGTGATAGCATAGCACTCTACTGACAGTGACATAGTGAGACTCTATCTCAATTAAAAAAAAATGCAATAACAATAATGTCACTCAGCAAGACACTGGCATTTGGGAACTGGTCTAAGATGTGTACCTGTGGCACACACCAACATGAACACAACTGTGAGACACTGATATACCAACGTTACGAAATCTCACTTATTTATACAGTGTTATCAATGTAAGCACACAGTGGCATGTTCACAAACTTAATTGTTAGCAGACAACAGCTCTGATGGTCATTCCAGAAAAAGAGTTCTAAAATTGCTTTGAAGGGTGAGCTATGAAGCTATGAAAAGGGTACCTCGAAAGTGACCATAGTAATATTCAGTGATGAGGTATGTAGCACTTTTTCTAAGATGAGTTCATAAACTTAATTGTTAGACCTTATATATAATAGTGTAGTTGATGCCAAATAAGAGGTTTTACATTGCCTGAAGAGACTATGAGAAGTTTTGGCTGAAGGTAACAAAAAGTGTTGATGAATAAGGTAGTAATTAAAGTAGGCATTGAATGATGAGTAGAATTTTGATCACTACAGTCAGGGAAAGGATATTCCAGGTAAGGGCATGGCAAGAGGGAAGGCAGTGGAGGCAGGTAAGCATAGGCCTCTTCTCAGACAGGTAGGGAGTTGCTTTAGTATACAAGAGTGTTGTTGCAACCAGTCCATGCATTTATTCTTAGGGATTTCAAGATATATGAAGATATAAAAACTTTTGTTTTCATTTGGGTTATAATATAAAAATTATTTTACCAGTAATACTTTATAATGAAAAGACATTTTTATTGATCAGGACGTCAATTTCTTAAATTAGTGTTTCTCCAGGAGATGGATGTCACCTGGAGAGTCATTGAGAATTTTTTTCATAAAAATGTATAAATTACTCAGGTTTGAGAGACACTGGTCTACAGATAAATGTGTAAGAATCCAATATTAAGAAACAAGGTTAGAAAAGGATATTTTGATCATGAAGGGTCTCGATGCTATCCTATAGAATTATATTTTCTTCACTGGACAGTTGGCAGCCACTTAGGCTCTTCCTGACAGGAGCAGTAGTATCAGATCTGTGTTAGGTACACTACTAATTGAGGTATGTAGTATTGATTGCAGGAGGAAGAGACTGCCCATAGGACACAAGGAAAGATGCAGTGAGAGCCCCAACCTAGAGGCATTCTTTTGATTGTTTATTGGTTCATTCATTCAACAAAATTCACTGAGCTTCTACTATGTTCTGGGAGTACAGCAGAGAACAAAGCAGATAAAGCTTCCTACCTATAGAATTTACATTGCAGTCAGAACAACCAGCAATAAACTAGATAAATAAATAAAACCTGTAGTATGTACTATGGCGGAAAATATAAAATAAGAACAAAGGAATTGAAATGTTGAGGGAAGGAGGCTAAGATTTCAGAAAGAAAACCTTAGTGGGAAGATAACCTTTGGAGATAAAAACCTAAAGGAAGTTTTAATGGACAACGCAGCATCTAGGAGACAAGCATTCCATGCAGAGAGAAACACAAGTGTAAACTATGGAAGAGGAAGAGCACACCAGGCAGGGAGGCGGGTTGGCTGGAGCCAAATGAGTGACTTATGGGAAGAGGAGTGGGAAATGAGGTCAGAGCAGTCATGGGGTGGTGGGAGTGTGGGACTAGATCCTTTAAGACCTTGTCAGCTCCTGTAAGGATGTCAGCATTTTCTGAGCTAGGAAACCACTGGAGGTTTTGATGTGAGGAGTGCTATGGTCACAGACTCCTCTTCTTCTTCCTTTTTTTTTTAAATAGAGACGGAGTCTCACTTTATTGCCCTCGGTAGAGTGCTATGGCATCTCAGCTCACAGCAACCTCCAACTCCTGGGCGATTCTCTTGCCTCAGCCTCCCAAGTAGCTGGGACTACAGGCGCCCACCACAATGCCTGGCTATTTTTTGTTGCAGTTTGGCTGGGGCTGGGTTCGAACCTGCCACCCTTGGTATATGAGGCTGGCGCCCTGCCCACTGAGCCACAGGCACCACCCTACAGGCTGCTCTTCTAAGAAGAGACTGAAACTGGAGGTCACAGGCACAAGTAAGACCAATTGGGAAATCAGTGTGGTAAACCAGGTGAGAGATGATCTTGGCTTGGGCCACCATGGTAGCAATGGTAGTGGGGAGAAATGATCAGATTCTGATTATTTTAAATATTATATTCAAATATAATTTCATTCTGATTATATTTTGGTCCATTTTATGATGGACCAGCTGTGGGGAATAAGAGAAGAGTCCACAATGACTCTATGCTCTAGGAAGTCAGGGGGAGAAGGGGAGTGGATTTTAAGGACAAGATGAGGACTTTCATTTGAAACACAATTTTTCATCTTCAAAATAAGAGTTCATTTTTCAATTTTCAAAGTATGTTCTCTTTCCAAAAAATTTAGGGTACAAGAAAAATCATCTGGGTTTTTTTTTAATTAAATCATAGCTGTGTACTTTAATGCAATCATGGGGTATAATGTGCTGATGCTATTTTATATATAATTTGAAATGTTTTCATCAAACTGGTCAACATAGCCTTCACGGCATTTTCTTAATTATTGTGTTAAGACATTTATATTCTACACCTAGTAAATTTCACATGTACCCTTGTAAGATGCACTGTAGGTTTGGTCCCACCAATTATCCTCCCTCCACCCATCCTCCCCCCTCCCCAATCATCTGGGTTTTTATGGAACACTAGTCATAATTTCCCATTCTTCTGAGATAGATTTTTAACATGAATTTCATTAATGTGTTTGAGATGCTCTTCATTTTCAAACATCTACAGGTTTTTTTTTAAGCATTCACAGTTTTTAAGTACAAATTCCAGTATAAGCTTGAAGTCAACAATGCACAAAATGCCTATTAATGTTTTTATTAGCTTTTCTTCTGTTTCAGGCAATTCATACTATTCCTTCTTTCTAATAAAGTATATCTCTTTATATCCTTTCCAGATACAAAATTGTAGAATTATAAAGAGTTGACTTTCCATCTTGGTGGAGAAACTGGTATAAAAAAGAAATAGAATTCATAAAGAAATGTAAACAAAGATAGAACGGATAAGAAAGAAATAAAGAGTTCAGAGAGATTGAATCTTTCATAAAAAGGGAGAATAAATTGAATTTTCAACCTTATATATTCATTTATAAGGAATATAGGAATATTAACCCCTTGAAATACGACTCTTATGTATCCATACGGTACTTAAAAGCAGTCGTATTAATGATGCACTATGCAGCTCTATTTTTAGTAGAAACTGGGTCTTACCTTTGCTCAGTCTGGTCTCTAACTTCTGAGCACAAGGGGTCCTAGTACTTCAGCCTCCCTGAGTGCTAGGATTACAGGCATGAGCCATTTTGCTCAGCCAGAAATGACTTTTTAAAAGAATCTGAGAGCTAAAAAGGCCTTCCTACTAAGATACAAATCCCAGAAGCCATGAAAGAAAGATTTAATACACCTGACTATATAAAAATGTAGAATTATCTTCATGATTAAATGTATTATAAAATAAATTCAAGTTAAAAACTGGAAAATATATGTAACAATAAGACAAATGGGCAATTTCCTTAGTTGAAAATATTCCTTTCAAATCAGTAAGACAAATAGCAACTCAGCAGGATAATGGGTAATGGATATGAGCAAGCAGTTACAGAAATTGAAATACAAATGACGTAAACTTTTCATCATAATTAAAGAAATGAAAATTAAAACAGCAGTTAGATGTCTTTTTCCTGGGAAAGATGAAAAAATATGATGATGTGCTGTTTTGCCTATGAGGTAGGGGAAAACAGCGCTGCTAG